ACACACACATATGGGAGTGGATGCTTTAGCTAAACAAGGGACTGTAAGGGAGAGACTTTACTGGGCAGTGCTGTAATGGTTGGTGTTTATTAGATCAACCTCTTCTAATAAGGGTTGACTCCTGTATCTCAGTTTTATTTACCTTTAATGAAAGTTACCATTTCTGATAAAAAAATACATATGGGAGTGGATATCTTACACATGGACATCACATGCTTGTCACTTGAACTTAGGAATGGCAACGGGGCGGGGATTACATTCCCCATCCCCGACCCTGATTTTCAAATCATCCCCCATCCTCGTCCCCGATCCCCGTAGGGGAAAGAAATGCTCCTCCATCCCTGATCCCAATGGGGATGAGTTCCCCATCGGAGACCTGGATCCCCGATTGCAAAGTTGCTCTTTGGAAGTAGATTCAGATCTGTTTGAGAGAGACTTGTGACTTGCAAGTTGCAAAGTTTCAGATCTGTAACATCTGTTTGAGATTTCAAAAATCAAATCTGTTTGAGAGAGATCCCCGATTGCAAAGTTGCTCTTTGGAAGTAGATTCAGATCTGTTTGAGAGAGAGACTTGCGACTTGCAATGGCGTGGGATCTCTGTTTGAGAGAGATCCCAGTCAGGGACGGGGAAAATTGCCATCCCTACTTGAACTCAAAAATCCTAGTGGTGTGCCTAAAATAAGCTCTTTTATGTGTGCAGTTACTAAATTAAAAAATTAAAGTATTGCAATAGTCAATATTTCTAGGGGGGAACAATCAATATTGTACAGCTAATGAGAAGTAACCTATATATTTTACTATTTTAGCCTTCCTATATTTTCTATATTTACCATTTAGTCCCTTTTGTATTTACTCTTCAGCCCCTTCATATATCTTGTATAATGAATGTAGTCCTTCAGGAGTTTCCTTGTAATTATATATTTTTAGCCATAATATTGGCCTTTTGGGATGTAGTTGTAAGTTTCTTGAATGCATATATTTAGGGCTGCAGTCTTACGGCACTAGTGTGCGGAGAGGGATAGCTAGGATGCTTCAATTCCAGAAGAATATTAGATACAAACAGGGGGATGACAGCAGCATCCATTTTTGGAAAGATTCTTGGTGTTCAGATCAACATCTTTGTGAGCTCTTCCGTTCTCTATTTGCCATTGCTTCTAATAAGAAAGGGTCAATTAAAGAGTTTGTTGAGCTGTTTAATGGCCAAGCAGTCCAGTCCCCCAGATTCCTCAAAAATTTAAATGATTGGGAAGTTACTTTCCTTGAGGACTTGCTAGCAGGCTGTATGAGGTGAAGAATTATCACATATCCAACGATAGTTGGCTGTGGGTTGAGGAGAAGGATGGCCAGTTTTCAACTAACTCTTGCTGCCCTGCCCTATTGGGGCCTTTTGAAGAGGTTGCATGATCCGAGATTTGGAAATCTATGGTGGCATCCGAAATCTTTTTTTTTTTTATTTATTTATGTGGCTTGCTGGAAGTGGAAGGATTCAGATGATGTGGACTTTAGTGAGATGGGGAATGCACATGGATGCTATGTGAGTCTTTGTGGTTTGGCTTTAGAGTCTGTTTCACATTTGTTACTTCATTGCCCCTTTATCTACCAGATCTGGTGCCACTTTTTTAGGATCTTTTAGGTCCAATGGGTCTTTCCTCACTCTGGCCGAGCTATTATCTTCTTGGAGAATGGGTCTGTTTTCAACCAATGGGAAGTTCCTATGGAATTATCTTTCCTTTGCTATCTGATGGGCAGTGTGGAAGGAGCGGAATTGCAGAACATTTTAAGCTAAATATGCTCCATTAGAGGTGGTCATTAGCAAGGTGGAAACCGTGGAATGGTCCCTGAAAAGACGGGCTGGTATTTCAAGGATTTTTGAGGGAGTTCCATCTCCTATTTTTTTGATTTCTATGTATAGGAGCTGAATGTATATCTTTTGTGCATACTTACAAACACACTTTTTGTACATGATTGAGGGTTTCTTGCCCTCCCCTGTAGTTTATAATTAATACTATCATTTGTACCACTTATAAAAAAAAGGGTTCTGGGAGGAGATTCAAATCCTATCAGATTTTTGGGTTTATTCTGAGTCTGTTTCACTATCTTTAAAATAAAGGAAAAACTAAAAAGATAATCACTCTGACTTTTACATATAGAATAAGTTTACATAAATATAAAATAATGGACTTATTAATTATAAGCTTTATGTTTTGTAAACAAATTCTTAGATAGGCAACCAAGACCCCCAATGGAAAACCTGGTTATTCTTGTAGTTGCTTTCTGTTGTCTTACATCTGAAGTTTCTACTAAATAATTTGATGCTTACATCAATCATTTGTTTTCTCTATATAAATTTATTAATTATTTGCTGCTTATATGTTAACCTTGTTTAGGTGGGGGGAACATCAGATAATATTGAAGAAAGTTGTGTAACATTTGCCACTCGTGCTTTGGGATTGACAATTCCCTTAAAGACTACACATCAGATTGACAACTGCACTGAAGGCTGGTATTGTATCCAAAATGGCCAAGTTGCTAGTTATGAATATGGTAAATAAGTAACGAGTTAAATTTGTTTGCTTGCAGTGTCGTGTTAGCTAGGACTAAAGAGTACTGTTCTATTTTTCATGGAAAGATCAGGGTAAGGTTTTTGTGATTTTTCCTCTCTTGCTTTTCCCTTTTGGAGTTTCTTGTCCTTTTATTTTTTCCTTTCTGAATAAATGCTAAACTGGAAAAGAGACTTTTATTAATCAATTGACACAAGTCTTTTCTGCTTATATTCTTTAGGTTCTTAGCTGATGAACTTTATATTTTCAACCAGGAGAAAAAGGTGAAAAAGCTTTATCTTGCTCTTGCTGCTGCCCCTGTGCCAGTTGGGACAATCACCCACCACATGCGTCCAATCAATATTGCTCCAAGACTTATTTCAAAGGGTAACCCTTATCATTGTCAAGCATCCCTTGCAATTTAATCTTTTGATCTCTGAATGTTTACCAATTACCACTCATGATTAATGGTCATGCTATTAAAACCAAGGGTCCTTTCCATGATGGCATTTTTAGTCTTGTACATTATGTTGTTGTTCCTTGACTTGGCAATACAGTCTTCCCATGGACCAGTGACAAGCCAAGGGGATGCCAACAGGAGATTTTGGCAATTGGCACTCCTAGACTAGATATCATAGAACATGATCATAAAAAAAAAGATGATAATAGATACACTGGTTATCGTTTCTTTTACTGGGTTATAGCACTTAATATGGAGTTAAGGCACTGATATCACTTTTAAACCATACATGAAAAAAAACACATAACCTTTTCACTAGAAGATACGACTTACTAAAAATGCCATTCAAGTCTTTGTGGTTATAAATAGAAGAAAAACAGCCTTTTGAAATGAAAGGACTGTTTAAAAAGTTGCAGGGAATCAATAGAAAGTAGCAGAAATCAGGTTTCAAGAAGAGAGAAGAGGAAGAAGAAGGTGGCGGCAACTAGGGTTCAGAGAAAGATTTTTGAACATAATCTCCTCTTACACCCCTAGTCCCATTTCATTAAGTTAAACTTTAGTAATTTACAGAGAGGCCCTTGGTTGGGCAGAAAATTAAAAACATAACATAAGAAAGAATAAGAGCCCAGATTAAGGCCCATTACAGCAAAGAACATAAAAGATAAAAAAAGATAAACAGCCTATGGGCCATTCGGCCCATCTTCTCTATATAAATAAACCATTGTCCTTGACCCATTAAGCTTGGTTCTAATGGCCTACTTGAAATACAATTGAAGGAAGCCCTTAAGCCATTGCCTAAAAGTAATTAATCCATACTGGTCCTATACATTCCATCAGTGGTGAGTTCATATGGTTGTCGTATATAGTCATCGGTAATGTTTTAAAACGTGGAGGCGTGACGCGAGGCGTTCCACTACCTAGAGGCATGAGGTGTAGTTCAGAACGTAAGAGGCGTAAGCCTCCCAAACACAAGGAGGCTTACGCCTCCTTAAGAGGAGGGGGTCAAGAGGAAGAAGGAAGAGAAAGGGGAGGAGGAAGAAGAGGAAGGGGGGATCTCATTTTTTTCTTTATTTTTAATAAAAATCTTCTATATTAAGAAGAATAAAGACCCCCCTCACCTAACACAAAAAAAGAGCTGCATTGAAAAGGGGGGCGAAGCCCCCCAGCCGAAGGGGTCAGGGGCAAACCACTTTCTTTTCCCTTATCTTTTATTCCCTTCCCTTTTCTTTTCTATTTTTTTTCTTCCCTTTCTTTCTTTTTTCTTTCCCTTCCCTTTCTTTTCTTTTCCTTTCCTTTCCTTTCCTATCCTTTCCTTTCCTTTTTTTTTTCTTTTTTCTTTTTTCTTTTTTTTTTCAGTCTTTTTATATGAGGTGTTCATGAGGCGCATGAGCCATACACCTCTAGCACATGAGTATGCCTTGGAGGTGTTAGTGCCTTGGAGGTGTTCATGAGTATGCCTTGGAGGTGTTAGTGCCTCTGGCGTACGCCTCCCACGCCTTTTAAAACACTGTCCTTGGACCTCATCCCCCAAATGGATCAAGCAAATCAACTGGATTATCCACCAAGAAGTGGAGCCCACCAAACAACCAACATCCCATAATTCCTGTAAGAACTTACCCATCCCTACTCATAAAAAATCTCTCCATGCCTGTCTCCGTATCAATCTCCAAAGTGATCTTATTGGTTCAAGGATCTAGTGGCCAACAGAAATGACAAGTTTACAATCCAATCCTATATCCCATCAAGAATATCTCTTCAACCCTTCTTCCCTACTCTCCTTGATTAATTAGCGGGGTTGGACATAAATAGAGTATGACAATTGCACTATCAATTTGACAGATTTTTATTGATATTTTTTTCACAATTTCATGCTTTCATTTATTTTTCCTTAATTTTTTCTTCATTTTTCTCTACTAGTAAGTGTGCATGTGCTTTGCATGTGACAATTCTAGATGATGATAATGATAGTAATAATGTATCCAAAATTTTCTATAAACTTTATGTATTTTTTTATTATTCATTGGATGTAGATTCCAAAATCCAACATAAACATCTCATCCAAATGTGTGATAATCGGATCGAGTTGTGAAGTTTCAAGTATCATTGATAGGCCTCCTTGGCTAGACTCTTCTTTTTGTAATGTTTTATCTTTTTGGTGTATCTTTTTTTTGTTCATTTACAAAAAATGTAAGATTTAAATAGGGGGAATTGAATGGGGTGAAAAGTAGTAGTTCAATTTACAATTTAAACCTTACAATTAAATAGGGACTAAATTCAAAAATGAATATTTTAGTCAAAAGAAGGTTCCACAATCTTATTCATATTTTTAATAGTAATGTAAATATTGAATTATAGATGTGTTCAATTTTTCTATATTTTTTTTGTATTTCTGTGTGAAAATAATTTTGATATGTCGCACTTACTTTTTATTTAATATGATAAATATATGATATTATACATGTACCTGGATATTTTTTTGCGAAATTTATGTTTTTTTTGGGTAAATATATGATATTATACCCAAAAGTTGAACTATTGATCTTTGCAAAACAGTAAAATAATTTCATTTTTGGTTAGTTCTAAATTATGTATTTCACTTCCATTATCAATAAAAAATAATTCTTGTTTATTGCACTTATTTTTTAATTTGATTAATTAAAATATCATAGATGTGTATTTTTTTCTACATTTTTGTAATTTTCTATATTTATTTCTATTTTAAAAATTTTATTACCTATCTATGACTTCATAGGTGGTTCAATTTGATTCGGATTGTTGAATTGCTTAGCCACTGCTTGGATAAAGAATGATTTTGTTAGTCAGTTTTAAAATATAGGATTTATATATTTAAAAAAAAACTTAAATATAGGATTTAATAAGAGAAATACCTTAATTATAAGACTTAATGAGAGGGGATTAAATAAGGTGGAAAGTAATAATTGAAGTTACATTTTCAACTCTTACAATTAGAGATGGACTAATACATTAATATTAAAGCTGACATTAAGACTGTAATAAAATGACTTTTATATCCTTTCTCAAAAAAAGAAATAGAGGGTAATTTTAGTCCATAAAAAACTTTCACTCTACATCCGCATTTTTATATATAGTTTAAATTAATCCCTATTCTAAATTATTTATGTATTTCTGAATTATACAAGGTTACATGTAGAGATGTCTTGATGCTTATCACCATGCTGCATACCAAGAAAATAAGCAGACATGCATTTAGACCTTTTGTTATGACATCTGAAACCGGACAAAGCATACAATTTTCTCAGAGGAAGCTATCTCATTTATTTTAACCACATTACTAGCTTCAGTTGATCTTATTAGAGTTGCACTTGCATTGAGCTTCTTTTAAATTTGAACATGCCAGGCATCTGGTAACATGTCAGCCACCTTGGTTATACTCTTCAGTACTATTCTGAAACTTTGCATTGAGCTTCATTTTGACATATTATAAATGGAACTCAACCTTGCCAGAGAAATATCATGAATATAGTTCAGAGCAGTCCTCTTTGGCTTCTTTGTCATACTGCTACACTATGAGCTAGTATGTTTTTGATCTATCAGGCATCTGGTATAATGGATTTTAATGAATCTTATATCTGCAGATTTTATCAAGGGATGGCATTTATGCAAACTTGAGGTCTTGGAATGCAAGGAGGTACCTTGGCCAAATTCCAACATTGAAAAGGAGTATTGCATTGATGATTGTGGATGGCCTCAGAAGGATGTTGCATATGAGTGTAAAATTAACCTTTTGACTGGCCGAACTCACCAGGTGATAGAATTTTTCATCCTTGCATAGATTTTGTCCTATCCCTTAATGTTCTTATACAGGAAAAAAGTTAATACTCGTTTTATTAGCATTTTTAATAAGTAACTTACTTTCCCACTGTTATAGGGTTGAAATGTTTTCATGGAGAATATTAGTTTTCCCAATGTATAATGTAGGGGATTGGGTTCGGAGATCAGGTTTACATAATTTGACATGGAGGATGATGGAATGTCTTAAGAGTTCTAATGGGGAGACCCCTAGTATTGATGGGTTGGTATCTGTCCATTGGAAGGAAAAAGAATGTTGGAAAACCGTTGTTGCTGTTTCCTGTATACTAATGGAAAGTTACCTCCCTAGTATTTTTGGAGGAAGGTTGTCTGAATCTTTTGTTAGAGCTGCACATTCTATCATGTGCATTTTTTGTCTATAATAATTCTCTCTCAATGATATAGAGAGAGTGAATGCACAATTTTTTTAGGCCTGCTAAAACTTATCTCTGTATCCCAATGGGTGTCATAGAAATTTGTTCTTTATGTTACCTTCATAGAGGAAGAAAAATTCTCAGTAGTGTTAATAAAAGGAAAATCTTATTTGACCACAGTCAAACTATGCAGGTCCGAGCACAATTGGCTGCTTGTGGTGCACCTATAGTGGGTGATTCAATGTACATGCCTGCTGCACTTGCTGAGATGACCAATCCTGGGCTGAATCCATTTGGTGAATACGGGATGAAATATACAAACGATGATAATCGAACAAAAGCTATTGAAGAGTGGATTGTTCATCATGGGAAAGAACCACGCATTGCTATTGGACTCCAAGCATGCCAGATCTCTTGGGACGAGGGGGAGCACTTTTATGAGGCTGGATCTCCATGGTGGAGATGACAAATAAAAAAGCTTTAATACTGAGGTCAATTCTTCAGGTCATTCATTAAGGAAAGTGGCATCAAGTAGGGAGATCATGCAAAAGACCCTTATAGAATCAGGATAAATAGGAAAGGATGGATACTCTTTCCCTTTACCTTGAGTTTGATCTTGTAGTTATGCCATGATCCAAGTTCAACAGTTTGTAAATTATAATTTTGCATATTTTTCAAACAGGACTGTAGTCATTTATCTAAAACCAGAATGTAACAATAGATGAAAAATGATAAAAGCTTCCCTTATTTCTGTTACAAGATAGATGGAACTGTTAGAGAAGTTGTCACTTGTCATCTGATTATAGAAGTTGGAAGATGATCAATACTCAGTAATCCCATGGTATTGTAATTAATTATGCTTTATCTAGCAACTCCCCTGAAATGGGTTTCTATGAAATGTCAACAAAAGATGCATAGTTCTTTTAATGAGATATCCATTGTTTTACTCAAGATTGAGACATCATTTATTTCTATTTCTTTTATGTTTGAAGAGTTCTGGGATTTAAGGTTGTATCAATTTCTGTAACTTGTTTTGGTTGCACGTACAAGGAAGGTCAATGAAAACATGATCTGAAGTGGTAAAAAATTATTTAAAGGCTTGTAACTTGACAAAAAAAGGAAAAACATGGCTCTTGATATAACACATTGGTGGGACAGGATTATGCAGCCAACCCAAATTGTTGGGATTAAGGCTGATGAGGTGAATTGAGTTGTAATGTGCAGGGGTAGACCTCCAATATTTTCCTTTAGGTAGGTTTTTTAGGAACCATTCTATTGTTCCATGCAATGGAATCATCTATTGGAACAAGAATACATTTGGGAGTTTCAAGCAGGTTCTTCGAAGATGATTGTTCTCTGTGATTCTGGGAAGAAAAGTATACAGGATTCCTTGAAGACATGTATTTTGTGGAATGCTATGCAATTTTGATTGTTCTTGTTCATACTTGTATTTCATGTTTTAGAATATACTACTGGAAAATAGTAGTATTTTGGCTGGTTTCTTTGAAACAAATATGCCATACATCTATTGTTGCATTAAGCAAATATGTCATACATCCCAAGTAATTAAGTGCATCATTCTACCTTTTTCCTCTTTTTTTTTTCTTAATTGTTTTTCAAATCATTGCCGCTTAGTTTATGGCTATGATTGACATAGGATGGTCTTCCTCCTTGTGATGCCTGTATCTAAAATTCTTTCCTACCAATCCATGATCTAATGTGCATCCATCTTGTGGTCAAGTTTTTATTTAGATCTTGTTCAACTCATTACACATGCAGATGAAACATCAGTGTCTCACTTTTTAGGAGAATTCTTGATTGCTAAGGGGAATTATAGCTTTGATTGGTTTCTGCCTTGCAATGAACTGTTTGTACCAGGTTGCTGATAGCTTTGGAGTTCTCTCCATTGTTTTGTAATCAACATGGTAAAGCCCAAACCTTTTTGTATATCCACATATCCACTCAAAGTTGTCAAGCAAGGACCAGATGAAGTACCCCCTGACATCTGCTCCCTTCCTGCTCATTGTAACAAATATACTGTAAGTCTTTAAGCACAGTCAGCACAGTCATGTTTAAAAGTTCACACATAATTGTGACTTCATGAGATTCAGAATGCTTGGTAGTTGGTTTTAATTCAATGAACTCTGAAATTGAGCAGCATGAGCCAAAAAATAAAAAAGCCAAGTATAAAAATTTTTCCATGTTTTAATTTGAACTATCAATATTTTAGAGGTTTAGTTCCTTCATCCTTGTAAGTGGAGTCATTCTACCAAAAAAAAAAAAAAATGGAGTTATATACCTCATTGCTCTCTGTAGTGCACTCAAATAGCCATTCAAGTAGTTCACTCTCTTGATGTCATATTGGAAATTTTCAGTGGAGAAACTGGCATTATTCTCTTCACCATACCCTACATCAAACATAACTTTGTATTGAAGAAGTTCGAAATATATAGAAGACATAGGCATGAAAAGACATGACAACCTGTATCTTGACTCACCATTTTCTGTGATGAAAATGGGTGTATTATTGTATCTCTCTTTAACATAGATAATGATTTTTTCCATCCCTTGTGGGTGAACATAAAACCAGTCCATCCCAGTCTACAAGATCAAACAAAAACAATAGTAAATTACTGAGAGAAGTAAAGCTTCAATCAGTTGAAAATTTGTATTTATTTGGCAATGAGGTTACATACAGGTTCACCAATGGGGACACCATCTTTTCTTCCTGTTCTTATGGCCAAACCTTCTGTCTTAGAGCCTCCAGTTCCGGGTTTGCACATGGAACTAATGCAATCTTTCACATAGAGACTAGTATAGTGATTGATGCCAATAAAATCCAAGCCCGTCTGCAGTATTTCCCATTCATTTCTTGAAAACTCAGGCAAAATAGACCCTAGAATTTCATGCATCTCTGGAGGGTATTTCCCAAATATGATGGGGTCCAAAAACCTGCAAGACTTGTTGCATTCCAAATAAGCCGTGCAGGCACATTCACACAATCACTAGTTAGCTCGTATGGGTTTCTTCATACACGCAGATATAAATTAAAGATGGTTTCAGTCATTACATACATATATAGATAAATGGATGGAGAGCGTTACCAGTTCAGATAGAATGACTGAGCTCTCTCGGCAGCTAACCTGTCTGCCGGGGAGTTGGTAAGTGGTTCAAACCATATGGCATTCATCACAATCCCAATGCTGCCACCTTGCTTCTTCTGTGTTTAACGAGAAAAGGAGGGAAGTTATTAGTAACCTTTAACACAGAAAACTGAAAAAAGTTATTGCTAATTAGGCTGTAAAAAGAATAGTTTGCTCCAAATGATTTGCTGTAGGCTTCTAGCTTCCAAGAACTCTCTTTAGCTTCTGTGTTGCTAATTAAGCTCAGTTATATTTTCTGTATCCTGTCTAGTTTGGCATAAATTATAGAAAATTTTTTGATACTTTCTGAAGGCTGAAACACCCTAATGCAGAAAGTGGGTTGAGCCCATGAAATTTGACGCTTCTTTTGTGGAAAGAGATTCAAAAATAGGAGCCACAAAACCCAAATAAAAGAAAATACCTGGTATCTGGTTCTGTAAATATTGACAGCAATGGCGTGAGAGAGGATGATGTTATGGGCCACGATGAAGGGCTCAGTCTTTGAGTCTCCATGTAGACAATTCCCAAATGATGCTGAGCAACGAGATGGTGGGTGGATCCCTGATCGGTAACCACGCACAGCTACGACATTGGGCTCATTGAAGGTGGTCCAGTACTTCACCCGGTCTCCAAAGGCCTCAAAACACACATCAGCCAAATATCCGAAATCATCCCTGCAGGAACAAAAGCACAAAAGCTAATAACTCCGGCCCTGTTTGGGAAGGCTGAAGCTTTGGTTGAGTTACTTTAGAGAAGCCACTAAAGCTGTGTTTGCTTTTCGAAAAGTTATTTACGTGGGTAAAACTTATTATGTTCTTTTATTTCCAGATAAATAAAAAATGTCCATTTTAACCATAAAAATCCATTATTAAATGCGACTTTGTCCCATCCAAATGTTGAAAATTTTTCCCCCAGGTGGAAAAGTAACCCACCTAGGAAATGAGCATCACTTACTCAGGTAAGTGGAGTCCGGATCTGCTCCTCATATAGCACACCTCACCTACCTCACAGCACGTCCTGGCCGCACATCGGGAATATCTCCCATACTTGCATTTATAATTCATGCGGAGATGTTTTCAATTCAAGGTGGGATGTGGCTGTGAGGTTGGTATGAGGTGTGCTCTGTGAGGAGCAGACCCCAATTCCAGGTAAGTGATACCCAAGAAAAGCCCACATAAATCTGAAAAACGAACATGGGTATCTTGGTCAATGGGAACCAAAAACCCATTAACCAACTTCCCCCTCTCAAAAAAAAAAGAAAAAATGCAGCACGAAATTAATAGTGTGAGTCACAAAGGTAGCAAATGTAGCACGAAATTAAGTGTGATGCTGATATTTACTGTATGTCAGGACTTAGCCAAGCTCCATATCTGTCTTCAAGTTCTTGAGGGATGTCATAATGATTCAAAGTAACAAATGGTTCAATCCCTGTAAAATAAAAGAAACCATTTTTGATTAGTTTGTGAAAGATTAAAAAATGTCATACGTAGAAGAAGAATGCCTTTTTCAGACTGAATTTAATGAATGCCCATGATGAAGTAGAATAGGAAGAACAACCTTTGCGTAGGAGAGCGTTGATAAGATTGTTGTAGTGGTCAATGCCTTGACGATTTCTCTCTCCGAACCTTCCTTCTGGTTTAATTTCAAATTCAAAAATAAAGAACAATTCAGTATAGAAAGCATTGCAGTTGAAGGGGAACTATATGTGAATGGACTAACTTGTGTACTTACTCGGTAGAATTCTTGCCCACGAAATGGAGAAGCGATAACTGTTAACTCCAAGAGATTGCATCAGCTCTATATCTTCCTGTTTTTTCATAATACCCCATATTGAATCTTCATTTTCCTTTTCTCTTGATCTGATTTTAGTGGGTTCTATTTTCCCTTTTTCTTAACATTGAGTTTGGACCGGACAAGGAGAATGGTTTCAAGGGGAAATCAATTCAACTGTTCTGCAGAAAGAAACCATGGCTTCCCTTGGCAGAATTATCTAGGAGAAAGGAACTTATTAATTTCCTTCTTAGTTCCTAAGAGCGAATTAGCCAAATAAGTTGTTTTCCATGAAAGCCTACTTTACTACTATAAGAAAAAAAAAAAAAAGAATGACATGAACGATATTGTCATTCTATGAATACAAGTAGAAGACAGTATGTTGAATATTAATTTGTATTGGAAAATGGGGTCATTGAAATTGTGTGTTTTTGAAGTCTGATTCATGCTCCTTAAATAGTTTATGAAGAAGTATAAAGAAAATGTAGGTGCTAGTTCAGAGAAGGCACTACACACACGCGTGCGTGCGTTGCGCAGTATCAAACCCCCATACTATTCCCTACTATTTCTAAGGAGTGTAAATCAACTCCTATTAAAATACTGAAAACAAATCTTATAATTTTTCAATGTGGGACAAGTTCAAAACTGGATTTTGTAAGAGAAAAGCTAATTTTTCAATCAAGTGTGCAGGTACAATTTCTCATGTAATTGACGAACCAAACCCATTGGATTTAATCTCTTATGAGATTAAAATCCAACAATTTGTAATAAATTAACCATCATTGGCAATAGAGATAAAAAAAACAACCCTCTTTATATTGTTTTTAATAATTATAGATCCCTTGAAAGTAATCACTTTTTTATATGCAAAAATTTGGTTCAGCTTCAAGGTTAAAACGGGTTGGGCTGCCTGTGGGTTGACACGGTGTGGCATGTGCAGGTGCAGAAAGATTGGTTAGATGGGGAGAATAGATTACAAGATTAAGGAAGACATGATACTTTATCCCAATTACTAAGTCAATCAAGGAGGTGGAAGTTTAAGAGAAGAGTGAAGCCAATATTCAATAATTATACAATTTTTTAATATTATTATAAATTTTGATTTTCTATTTTATTCCACTAATTCTTTAATTTCGTTTTATTATTTGGAACAATTGTATATACTGAAATTCATATTCATGTGAAACAAAATTTTAAGAGTTTTTCCTAATTTGTTATTTATTTTGTATTCTTATTAAATTATTATTATTATTATTATTATTATTATTATTATTATTATTATTATTATTTTCTGAGCTCATGTCAGACTCTCCTCCTACTCTGCTGGCACAACCAACAATAATGTGGGTGGCACAAAAATGCAATCAGAACCTGGCAAGGCCCACATCACACCTATAGTTCATTTGTATTAGACATCAATGGGTTTTATCTTTCTTGGAAAATTCCTGATTAGTACCATGTACTTTGGGCTAGTGCCATTTTGGTCCTTGAACTTTAAAACACAACAATTCAGTACCTAAACTTTCAAAACGTGCCAATTTGGTACCTATTGTTAACCAACCATTAAATGACATTTGAAAAAGACACAAATGCCCTTTGAGTGTCAACTAATTTTCTTTATCAACCATCTAAGCGTTGACAAAAAATTAACAGCCTCAAATCCTTGCCTCTTATATTTAAGAAAGTTGGGGTCACATCTCAATGGGCATTCTGGTGACCCCAACTTTCTTGAATATAAGAGGCAAGGATTTGGGATTGTTAATTTTTTGTCAATGTTTAGATGGTTGATAAAGAAAATTACTAAATTAGATGACATTTGAAGGGCATTTGTGTCTTTTTAAAATGTCACATAACGGCTGGTTAACGGTAGATATTGGATTGACACATTTTGAAAGTTCTAGTATTGAATTGTTGCATTTCAAAGTTTGGGGACCAAAGTGGCACTAGGCCCAAAGTTCAAGGTACTAATCGAGAATTTTCCCTATCTTTTTTCTTGTGTTTCATTAGGGATGCACTGGTCTACCAAACAAGGTTGTGCCCTAACCACTGACATATCAAAGCTTATATAACACCCACAGTTTTTCTTGCTTATTTATTGGTAAACCCATAGTTTTTCTTAGGGTCATTTATTAAAACACCCCCTATAGTTTCATAAATTTAGTGAAACCTACCCTATCATTTGAGGTTTACCAAAACATCCCCTATAGTATGAAAGCAATTTACTTAATCGACCTTCTTTTAGATGAAAGTGGAAAATGACAGTTTTAACCTTATCATCTATTCAAATAGATTTAATCAAAAGAAACTAAAAAACAAGACCATTTTTGCTCCTAATAAACACAGACAACCACTCTATTTTTCTCTATTTGGTCAAATTTTTTCTACACAAAAAAAGTGATAGGGGTACATTTGGAATAAACAACAATGAATCTATACCCTTGAACATTTTCCATTCAGTTTAGGGGTACTTTTGGAATAAACAACCATGGGTCCATGCCCTTGAATTTTTTTTCACTTAGTTTAGGTGATCATGTTACTATTTTCATATGACAAAATAAATATTTCTTAATGAAATGTCAATTAAGTAAATATATTACAAACTATATGGGGTGTTTTAGTAAAATAAAAACTAAAGGGTAGGTATAAATAAATATGTAAAACTATAAGGGGTATTTTAGTAAATTGACCCTTTTTCTTATTTTCTTTCTTTTTCTTGGATGCAAGTTTCGAGTATGCATAAATAGATTAAATTAAGGTTTTTTTCCCTAACTTTTCTTGCATATATAATTACTACATGTCTATTCAATCACATCAGTGTTTCCAGTTTCCTCATGGAATGTAATCTTACAATTCGATATATTGTGCCACAAATTAAATATACTCCAAAGGTCTAGTCTATCAAAACTAATCCCAATGAAAAAAAAACTACCAACCCATCTATCCATCCTTCCATCTAACAACAACAACAATAATAATAATAATAATAATAATTATGATGTCAATCATCAAACTAATTGACCCATAGTCAATTAAAATCATGATTTTTAAATTTTAACGGGTCAGGGGTCCAGCTACCAGTTCGAACAGTCTAACCGTTTGACCTGAATGGTCGGCCCGTTTTGATAAAAAATAAAATAGTTAAAAAAAATTAAAAAACGATCAAAACCGTTTAAACGGTTTGAACGATTAATTGGCTGGTTCAGCGATTTACTGACCAAAATCAACAATTCAAACGATTAACCGGCCAAAGTTTGTATATATTTCTTATGGTTTATTTAAACTAGTCTAAGGGCATGAACATAAAGATATAAATTGACAATTTGATATTATATAATTAAATTTAATTTTTATGACCTCCATTAAAATCAAAACAATTATCTACTTTATTATAGTATAGATAATTTTAGGGTCAGAACCTCTTGCAGTTATCCCATTAACTTATATAAATACTGATGTATATGAAACCACATATATAATAGGAAATCGCTACATATTAAATGGCAGTTAAGGGGAAAAATTGCAGTAGATCCAGAATCTAATATTATATAAGATACTTAAAAACTGTTGTCCTTTTGTTATAAACTATTTTGAGAAAAGCGAACAAGATGATTAGTAGCTAAAGGTCTGTAGGTTCATATCTTATTGGGTCAGACATGGTATACCCAAGATTGAATTTGGGTCCTACAGACCTGAGTGGAAATTGGACCCAGATGTTTTCTTTATCTATTTGGGGCTAAATATACCCTAACCTAGCTAGACAGGGCCCAGCCCACTAATCAATCACGAGTATTAAAAAAGTAAATGCTAGAGGGTATTTATTCCATTCCATCACGATCAGGAGGATCGCTTTCATAGCTTTGGCCTAATTCTAATACTAACCTCATCTCATGGCTTAAAAAAAAAAAAAATACTAACCTTATCTCTTCCCATATTGATCAACATACTAAATCAAATCTCATCTTTTCTCCACCCAAATCCAAATTTATTGATAAATGTACATAAGGCTGTGTTTAGTTGCAATGTAAATAAATTTGCATTATTGCAAAACTATGGCAGTGCAAATAATTTGAGTGTACATTTTAACTTATTTTTGTTTTAAATTTTAATTTATTTTATTTAATTACAATAGAAATGAAATGAATTAAGACATGAAACAGAATAAAATAAAACCCAAAACAAAATTAAATGAGAATTTGCATTTTATTTTTATTTACACTCCCATACATTTGTACTAATGCAAACAAACACAGCCTAACAGTTTTTGCTTGGCTTCAGAAGTGGGATGAGCGATTTGGCTTGGCCCATCAAGTAGAATCCTTTCCCAACTCTCCAGTGGGAGAAATACCCAATAAGGGAACCTCTTTTCATGTACAGAAATGCTAATGAAAAACGAGTTTGTCCTACTAACAAGTGGAGTCATGAAAAGACTTAAACTTTGTTTTCTAGCTTGTCTTTTGATCTTTTCATGAATTCAGGACAAAGAGTACAGGAATCGTATTCAAAAGTTTGCGCGACCAAATTATTTCCAATCGAAAGTTTTATAGAGATTTATGATTTCTCAATATCATTATTTTTTTTGATAAATGATTTCTCAATATCATTATTGTTGATGAAAAATTACAGGCTTATACACGCAGTCCAACCCCGTGTTGCCACGTATCCTAGAACGAAACAGAGAGTTCCCAACAATGTTTTCAATCCGCTGTTGAACCGTTTGAACCGTCACCTGGTCAGGATTCCAGGTCTGGTTCAGTTAAGACCCATTAGATGGTCAAAAACTGTAGATTTGGTCAAGAACCACTCAACTCGGCTAGTTGAATCGTTGACCCATTCGATCCAATGACCAGCTCGCGGGTTACACACTCAATGTATGCAAAACTTTTGGAGGCTATAACTTTGTACTCTGATGTCTAATTGGAGTGTTTTTTTTTATTTTATTTTGGATAACTTTTCGAGACCTATGCATCCTAAGAAGTCATAGGCACATTTCCTCGCTATTTTTGTGAAAAAAATCCCGTTTTTGGCATCAAATTATAATTTTTAATATTTTTTATATATAATGTATATATATATATATACATACATACATACAATGATGTGGTATGGCCTGAACCATTTGACCTGGCCGGTTGAACTGGTGACCCACGACCTGAATGCAAAAATGGTTTAGCCTCCGACACAGTTTTTAAAACACTAGTTCCCAATGAAACAAATCAAACCGACCATTGATCCAATTAGTTGGTTCATACGAACCATGAGGTATGCTTAGATAAGGACAAGCCATTGAGATCCTTGTGCCTGGTAGCTGTCTCCCAGCAGGACTAGAATTCCTCTATGAACACAACACCTCTCCTATATGTAGGTACAACCTCGTTAAAAGGTACATGATACATAATACTTTCTAGCTCCTTACTTCCTTACTTTCCTGGCTTAATAGCCTTTTCAGCTCTGCCTAACAAATCCTCGCTCACTTACTGACTTAAGCATCAAGGGACATTTCTTGGATTTCTCTACCTTTTTGCAAGTCTTTGGAAGCAGTTCGGTTCAACTATTCATCTCAGTTTACCCTATTTCCTTCTCAGATTCTCTTTACATGTTGGCTAGATTTTGACTACAATATATTACTATGGGAACCGAGCAAGAAGTTATGCCACCATGCCTTTGAAGGCACGCACCAACACCAATAAGGACCCATGGGTTTGGGCCTAGGCCTAGTCCTTTAGTAGCAAAACTCAGCTTTAGCCTGATCCAAGTTTATCCCAACCCCAGTTCAATCTAACTATGTATATACATATTTGCATATATAGACATATATAGACATATTTACACATATATACATACTTTGTTTTGTTGTAAATCATATACATGCATGCATATAAGTTTACATTTATGTCAAGTTTTAATGTGGATACCGGTTCATTAATCAACTCGAGCCTAGCCTAAGCCCGATTCCAACTTGAGTTCATCAAATTTTAGTGTGAATTAGGCCCAAATTAGATTGTTAAGACTTGACCTTAGGCTCGGGCCAAACTCAAGCCTTATGCTCAATTCTTAGGGTTGGGCCTGGATCGAGCTTAAACCCGGTTCAGCTCACGTGACTTTGCACCCCCTATTTTCGGTGTTATATTAGGGTTTTAAACCTAACCAAAAAATATTTTTTTTATATCCCGAAAAAAGTCAGAAGAAAAAAGGAAAAGGTCCGGTAGGACCGGTACTTTGTAAAACCACTACTTTCAACTAAATGACTCCCAAGGAGAAAAGTTTGCCTGCTTGGAAATAAAACAGTTTGGACTGTTTTGAAGCTTGATATGCATGAGACCTGAGCCTCTGGAAGGGGGTAAAAGAGCAATTGTGATCAATATTTTTCCTATAAAAAAGACAAAATTATAAAGATCTCATCTAACTGGGGTGAAGCTTCAAAACAGCTCAGGTTGTTTTCCTCATGCAGCTAATTAAACTTAATCCTGGAATGGAAAGTGAGTCCCACAGGTACGGACGTCTTCCTCTTAGGGGTTGGTTTGTTTTTGGTTTCCCCATTCCTTGGTTTCCATTTTCCAACAAAAGTGGGGGGTGCCGTTTGTCGTTCCGTTTTAAGTATTTCTCTTTCTTTCTTTCTTTCTTTTTTGTGATGGATGACCTCCTGTTTAAGTTGTCATTCCTTTTAATGAATAGAAAAGGAAAAAGAACTCCAATGGCGTCGCCCTTTTAGTTGCAAGATGCTGCTAATAATGTTATATATATGATGATAGATAAAAGAGATAGATAGATATCCATATTTCGAGTCATGGTTTAATTAGTACCAAATATCGGTGGTAGTGATCCACGGCAATATCTCCATTACTTCCATCCACGATATTACCTGCAACAGTTAACCCATGCTTATATATGATCTCCTATAGAGAATTAATAAAAATATAGAGTCCTATATTCAGTAGAGAAAGAGAGAGTAATAAAAATATAGAGTCACCTGGTTTGTGGGAGAAGACGTCCCAATTGTTCAGGCCTTTCCCATCACTTAAGAAAGCGCCTTCAAACTGGAACATAGAGAGCTCTCTTGATCACTTAACCACCATCATATCTTTTTAAATCTATTTGTTCAATTAACAGAAAAATAGACAAGAAGAAGAAGTAGAAGAAAGAACAGAGCTATAGTAGTTGCATCATGGGAAGAGAAAGGAAGGCAGCTATACCTGATAGGAGGAGGAAGCAGTCCCAAAGAGAAAGTCTAGTGGGAAGAAAGAAGGATTTGCGGTTTCCTTCTCTCCTATGTCATCGCTTAATACAGAGTGGGATGGGGTGGTCTCAAGGACAAGAAAAAGAAGAAACGCTAATGAAAATTCCATGATATAGCTAGGTGCTTAACGAATGAGAATAACAACTCAGATGTGTCCCCTATTTAACTAAGAAATAGCCCACAGAAAGAGAGAGAGAGAGAGGGGTGGGAGAGTTCACTTTGGCTCCTTCCTAGAAGTACTACAGTTCCGGTTTTTCACAATGGATTTAGAGCCACAAGCAATATTGGCATTCATTCTTCACTATTTACCATTATTTATCTTGCTTACTTCTATCTATTTATAGGGCTGTGATGGATTCGATGGACTCGAACCGATGGGTCAGATCCGGGTTCTGATATAGTATCCCGATTATTATTGATTTAAAACCGGTTCTACCCAGTCCCCAATCGATTCAAACCCAATCCGAGTTATATACATAATATATATATATATATATACATATATATATTAAACGTATTTATTTATTTATTTATTATAATCGTGCCCAAATTCGGTTCTGGGTTTTTAATATTTTATGTCAGATCGATTCCGGATCTAACTGGCCCCAACCCAAACCCGATTTATTAACAGTCCTATCTATATATTCATCTATCTATCCATTTGTGTGTGAATGGTGGAGGTTATTCTTATAAGAAGATTGTTCAAACGATTGAGACAAAAAAAATGGGGTAAAAATTCAGCTTAAAACTCATAATGGGTCTATCAATAGGTTTTTAGTTTGGTGGGTTCAGAGTTCAGTCTTAGCTTTTGGTTTCAGTGAAGTGTGTATAGGGCTTTTGTGAGATCTGGTTGGGTCTAACTGGAGCGGGTGGAGTCTGTTGCTTTGGTGCCCTTTTTTTTCCCGGGCGTGGATGGGGTGGGTCCTCTTTCTTCTCTTTCTTCCTTTCGGTTTCACTCCAAGAATTGACTGATTGTGACGTCCACAGGAGAGGAGAACACTCCTTGTCTCAATCACCTAATGATATAACGTTTTGAAAGTGATGGCCGTGTAGTGAAATGAAGTAAAGAATAATTAGAGCGTGTTCTGTGTTTGATTGTAGTGCAAATTTTGCATTCACACAAAGTTTTGTTATAGTGCAAATAAATTAGAGCATATGCAAATGATTTGGGTTCAAATTCTGATTTATTTTTGTTTCAAATTTTACCTTGTTTTCCTTTTTTTCATCAATAACTCACAGATTTCATTAAAATTAGAGAGAAAAGATACATAGGTACAAGAAAAGGGAGATAAACTCTATTATCTGGCCTAGAATAAAGAATTCCTAGTTAACTAGCACTTATTTTAATCCAATTCATCTTCAACTCAATATTCTTGGTTAACCAATTGAATTTTCTAAAAATTAGCAGTATCATTTTTCAGCCAATCCACTACCTTGTTTTCTCTACTGCAGTACAAATTAAATAAAATAAGATGTGAAACATAATAAAGCAAAACCCAAAGCAAAATTAAATCAGAATTTATATTCTTTTTATTTGCTCTCCCATATATTTGTAGTTTTGTACTAGTACAAATAAACAAAGACAATTTCAATGGGTCATGTATATTTGCGTATGCCATTACGTTAAGCTGAAATTGAAATTATTAATCAATACATCATTTCATTTTATGAGAATGTAATCAAACAAGGTCTTTTCACTTTTTTCAATAGAATGGCCAAATTAGGACCCACATTGAATAGAAAATTTGGGGTCTATATTGATTCCTTCACCTTAGAAATTTTTATGGGTTTATGTAATTGAAAAGAGTGATTGGTGTGAGAGAATCTTTCACAATTCAAGAGGAGGTATTGGACAATAATGGGGTTTAGGATAATACATTCAGAAAACCAATAAACAAATCAATTTAGGGGAAAAAGTGCCAGAGTACAAACAAATTAATTGAAGCAAATTCTTATTTATTTTCCTTTCAAATTTTATCCCATTTTGTAGATTTACGGTGTAAATGAAATAAAATAACACTCTTCTGGTTTGTACTTTCATGCATTTATTATAGAGCAAATAAAATTACAAATCAAACAAAGAGTCTAATAATCCATAACCAAATTTTTGGTTTCCACGCTTACTTGATAAAACTTGATCTATATATAGGATTACTTTTGTATTTTAAAACAACCACTTGGCCAATAGGCAGTGAAATTACCATCATAAAACATTTGCTGACAAGGAATGATTGTATAAAGAATCAATCATGCTAGACAGCTCCACAAGCATTGTAGCCATTCAAATGTATGGAAAGGACTACCAACCAAGAGATATGTTTCCCTGATGTAGATATATATATTTGGTCAGCCCACCAGACCTTAACATGTGGCATTGGCCAAGGGTATTCTTCATAATTGATAATCTCCTAAGGACAACCGGGTAATCCCCAGCCTTAGCAGTTATGGAGCATTTAATGCGGGTGCAAGATCTTGGTGCATTTACTCCTAAGTCGCTAATTAAGGGGTTGTAGTCGGCCGGCGCTTCTCTTAGTCCCTTACATGTCCGCAATCTACAGGACCATTACTAGTCATTCATTACTCCCTACCTGAATGACCCCAACTATAAAAGGGACACTAAGTCAAAGGTATGAAATATATATTTGTCTTATCACTTACACTCTTGTGGTGATCTTAGTTTACTCTGAGTCTTCAGCAAATTTAACCGTCGGAGTTCTTGCCTTTGGGTACATTTCTAGGGCCTCTAACGTCTTTTTACTCTTAACAGGTGGGACCCATAGCCTTTGGAACTCAGAAATTACTTCGTTGCCCTTGACTCCAAGTTTGACAATATCAATTGGCGTCATTTGTAGGAATGACTTAGCATCTTCCCCTTTAACAAAACTTTAACAATTACCTGTCCCCAATGCTCAAAACTTGGTCACTCATGGACAATTCAACATGGTGCTCTAGTGACTAGACAACTTGGCCCAACAATTGGATGAATTATGATGCTCTACAATAGGCCTCCCACATAGTGGTCGCCCTGTCAATGAACAGGAACAACAAGGCAGGAAATCTACTCCCATCTCAGTGAGCCAATGCCTAGGCACATGCATCAGTGGAGACCCCACGAAGTTTGGCAACAGTAGTTGCCAGGCAAGCAAGCACTGATCCAACACATCTCGACTTCCATGCAACCGAGTTGGGAATCACCTCAACTCCCATGTCCATGATGCCCTAGAGGACCATAGGGATCGTCAGGCCGACCACACCGCCTTCAACCACGATAGGGACGACAACGGGCGCTCTGACCATTACAACCCCCCTAATAGATTTGGAGCTGGTCGACATTGTGCCTCTCCTCTACTAGTCTCAGATCTCCATGATCACCTCAATGATCGCTATGGGAATAAGTTGAAGTTCCCATGCCTTAGAGTAACCAAGGCCTTGGGGACCTCCAAGCGCAGATAGGCACCATCCAGGATGAGATTAGATTGGTGAAGGAGGGTAGGGGTTATGCCTCCACTAGTCAACCCACCTCACCCAATGGGATGGAACCTTTTACTGACTCTATCACCTCGGAGCCACTCCCACCTAATTTCAAGGTGCCTACTCTTGAAACATACGACGAAAGCACGGATCTGGAGGACCACTAGGAAAGCTTCAAAGCCCTAATGCTCCTCCACGGGTACTCCGACACCCTAGTGTGCTGGGCCTTCCATGCCACTTCCAAGGGAGCTGTTCCAGATGGTTCTCTACACTCCCCCTTGGTCCATCAACTACAGGGACTAGTTTGCAGACCTTTTTTTTAGCCCACTTTGTGAGCATCCAACGGTGTCAGAAGACCATCATCTCCTTGATGTCCACCAAGTAGAAGCCCAAGGAAAGCCTTTAAGCCTATATGAAAAGATTCAGCTAAGAGGAACGTGAAGTTAAAGACCTTGACTCCTCGATGTCTATGGCTTCCGCCATTAGTGGCCTCCACCTATGACCCCTCAACTGGTCTATTTCTAAGACACCACTTAAGAACAAGGCAAAATTCCTCAAAAAAGTACAAAAACATATCGCAACTAAAGAAGCCGAGGCCAACAAGCATCTACAAAACCTAGAGGTTGGCCCTAGCGAGAAGAAAAGGAAAGATAAAGATGGACCGACCAATGGCCCAAGCAACAAGAATAACGAAAAGGAGCCATCGACACTATCATTTGACAAGTACACTCCATTAAGCGTCTCCCAAACTCATATTCTCATGCAAGTGGGGAAGCAAAAGTACATGAAGTGGCCCACCAAGTTGAGAGGAACCCCAGAAGGGGAAATCCCATGAAATATTGCAAGTTTCACCATGGCATGGGCCATGACATTGACGATTTCTACGATCTCAAGAACGAGATTAAGTCCCTCATTCGACAATGACATCTGAAAAACTACATTGATGATGAAATTCTAACATCATCATCTACACCGACACCAGCTAATCCCCAGCTTGATTGTACTCTAGCCAAGGTCATTTAAGTTATTATTGGTGGCTCGGCTTCTGGGGGAGAGACTACCTTAACCAGAAAAGCCTATGCTCGATAGTTGAACGTTGAACAAAGGAAACCAAAGAAGTAGAGGTCAGAGGAGCTCACCTCCTTTTCAGATGACGACCTAAGAGGGGTGTCTATACCCCACAACGACGCAGTGGTGGTTTCAATGATAATTGCCAACTACAAAGTGAGAAGAACCCTCATAGACAATGGATCTTCAGCTGATGTCATGTTCTACGAGGCATTCGAGAAGATGCAACTAAAACCAAACTGACTACAACCCATTGATGTA